TTTTTGTTTGACTGTGCTAATGACAGCTATATTGTGCTTCCATTCTTATTCTTACACTTTGATTGTAACTTCGCGCGAATTCGGTTACGTTCTGTAACCAAGCTTGTATCCTGGCACGATCTCGGTATCCTTTCTATACCACGAGATCGCCCACAAATATATCTCGACTTGGTCCATTAACTGCCTTCTGATATTTGACTTCTCGGGGATTTTATAAATTTATTTGGTTATGTTCAACCTTCGCCTTCTGATTTACCTGGCACGTGTTTCTCTGTAGCGGTGTTCATGGTCAATTTCAACTCGACGCCACGCTACACACTCGCAGTTTGTTCCTATTGATTTTTCTAGTTGTACATTGTTAGTCTTTTTGATTCCATTTGAGTTGTTAATATTTGTATTTTATTATAGATTTTATTTTTCTTACGCCTTCACAGAGTTTCCGTGTTTCTTCCTGAACTGCATTTATGTTGTTTTAGTTGACACTTAGTCTTGGCGGCAGCCGTATTGTTTGTTCCTTCTTTTGATTACGTTGCTTTCATTGACTGAAATTGTGCATTTTTGATTGTGAATTGAGGCACTCTTCCAGAATTGATAACACTGTGTTATAAAGCAACCAAATATTATTCTTTGAACGAATCTGTGCGTTGTCTGTCCACACAGGATAGAACAACATTTATTTGTTGTGATTGGTAATCTTCTAGCATCTTTTATCAACTTCCCTATTTGTTGTGACTTAGATTTGAGTACTTGAACAATTATTGGTTGGACAGCTGGGTGGCCATATTTGTTTAGGTAACGATGTGCATTTAACTTTATGATGAATATTAGAATCGTCACTTTACCCGATTGCTTTGTTTTTGGCTTAAATCGGGCAAGGGCGCGTATTTAACTCACCCAAACAGCTATTCTTCAATGCGAACCTTAGTTTGGATCTTACGGCTAGAACCACCAATCGCCTTCTGATATCTGGTACACAACCTTCTTGTAGTGGTAATCATATTCAACTGCGACTAGACGCCACACTACAACTGGTAAACCCAAAACTACGAGCACTTTCAATTGCGGTCTAGTCTTCCAAAGAAGCCAATCGCGTTGAGTCTATTACTTATCTATCCACGTCTGTTGCACATTTTCGTATTAAAATTTCTCAATATATAATAATCTGGCAGCAACTTGAAATGACGGATAAAGATTAGAATAGTATTAATGTAATAGACTCCGATGTACGCGTACCGAATCTTTCATTCGCGTGACGATATATTCCATCGAACCTGCTAGCGGGATCCCCACATCTAATTCACATCCCACGCTAGATACATCAGAGACCTCATTCTCACGTCCCGGTCAACAGCACGTGTCTTCTGCATCATCTACGGGCGAAACTTCAGTCGCACGTCCAGATCAACAGACCACGCCGCTCTTGGCTTCGGATGAGATTGCAGGCTAACGAAGTACGAACGACACTACCGTCTTACGTCCGGTCGCCGAGTACGCGTACCCGTATGCTTTCGCGAGTGACCGCACAATCAACAACAAATACGATATAGGACTCTAACCCTATACTACATACATGCTACACCTTTCCCTTTCTCTTTGATTTTTGTATCCTGAGCCCACGCCTCCGACCATTGCCCATTTGGTACCGTCAACTTCAGTCAATTTTGGAGAAAGCTGGCCTGATCACCCACGCACTTGTCAACGCACTCAGTTGATATTCCGGTTCCGAATATGTTTGGCATACGTTTGGTTCCTTGGTTCAACGTGGTTCCGTCGTATGTCTGCAGCGTATTCTGCCCCACAACACTACGAACGCAATCCTCAGATCCTGGATACAAACCATTCTAGTGTGGTACGCTAACTCGAGCGGCAAATGCAGTACGTTACTCAGGGTACCGTTCTACGTAAAAGACCTTGCACGAATTCGGTTACGCTCAGTAACCACACTTGTAGCCTGGCACCATCTCGGTATTCTTTTGATACCACGAGATCGCCAACGAATACATCTCGACTACAGCCATCAGCTGCCTTCTGATATTTTGCTTACGGGTACCTTATCGTTTAACTGGTACATAGTCTTCCTGCAGTGGTGATCATAGTCAACCACGACTCGATGTCACATTACAAGTTGATGAATGTGTACAGGTCGAGAACAGGAAACGGTATGATGCTATTAAAGAAAATCCAATCCTATAAAATATAGACAGGAAATTAATGAGTGATCTCGGTGACAGGCCGGGTACCTTGCATATAATCAAGGAGGTTAAAAGCTCAGAACCTGAAACTCGTTTTGAGCATGACATTGGGTCTATAAAATAGGTACTAAATTAGCTAATGCCTTAGGATATCTCTGGAGTTTCCTTGCTATAGCTTTATAGACTAGATAGCCAAACAAACATGAAACAAAATCAAACCAGGCTACTTAAAATAGTAATTAAATCTCCTCATGAACGGAATTTAATGTAACAGAATGGATATCAACTGAAGGGGTCAGGAACTTTCGTCCGTAAGGACCTGCCGCTCGCAGATTATGTGAAACGACGAGAAGCCTGAAAGGAACTATATTTTGGGTTTGTGAAGCTTCGACAAAGAATGATTCCGGAGCCACCATGGATGCAGAACTAAGCCACTTAAATAGGCTTCGGATCAGTCAGAACTACATGTACAGATTGGCTCTACCAAGCGAGATATAATCGCGGTCGCAAAAACTTGGCTGACGCAACCTATCAATAGTGCGGAATTTTATTTCGAAGGTTTTACTCTGGTAAGAGCCGACAGAATCCAGAAAAATAAAGAAGAGTGAGTAGCTCTCTAAGAATACTGTCCTGTTCACCATTATCGAGCAGTGTACTCCATGGGAGTGGGACATGTGACTTAGTTATTTACTGCCTGGAATGCGAGGGACAAGAGCCGCTGATTGGTTTGGTTTACCCCAGTCCGACCTGTGAGGTAAACGAGGTTTTACTAGACAGTTTCAATGCTTGGTCACAAAGTAGGCGATGTCTAATCCTAACAGACTTTAGTACACTCACGATAAACTGGAAAAAATGTGAGAACCAAACCGTCAGAAAACTCCTTCGAGCAGGAACTAGTAAATGTGATTATCACATGTGTACTGTGCAACATGTGAAAGAAGCGACTAGGTGCGACCCCGGCTCTAAATCATCCTGACTAGACTTTCTATTGACCCATTATCAGGATGACGCCACGAACCTCGATTACATGCCACCCCTAGGTAAAATTGATCATGCAGTTCCAACCTTTGACTCCCATATGGTTGTCAAGATCGAGCACGCGTCAGCTCAACCCAGACCTAACATCTGGAAAGCAAATACACAATATATTTTACTCTCAGCATTATCAGTAGATTGGACAGTAGAGCCAGAGTCCCCAATCGAAACAGCTTGGGACGTATTTCGAAATTTATACTTAAAAGTTACTGAACCCCACATCTTTTGGAATAAACCAAGGGGGTCGAGAAAATCTCCACCGTGGTTCAGTAGGTAGGTTAGTAACCTTCTCTGTAAGAGGTGAAGTATGTGAGATAGGTTCAGATTACTGGGGATTGATGAAGAAAAATCTCAGTATCGAAAAGCTCGGAAAACATGTGCTTCAACCCTTCGTAAGTCTAGAAGGCTGTACGAAGATAAAATTGTCATTGAATTCTCAGAATGTCTTAAACGCTTGTATTTGTGTAGAAAAAGGAAAGGAAATGTCCCAGCACCATGGGGCGACAGTATTGCTTCATCATTAGTGAAGGACGACTTTGGCAAAGCTCAAGTATTCTAAAACTACTCTAGCAATATATATACCTTAGAAACACCCTTATTGTCAGTCCGTACAATTCCCATCACGCACACAGTGGACAATGTGACTACTAAAGAACGTGATGTCTTTGGTCTGCTAAATAAGTTTGAAAGGCAAGTCCACAGGACCCGATGAAGTGAATCCTAGGTTACTAAAGGAACTAGCTAACTTCGATGCGAACCTTTTAAGCACGTTTTAATCTATCCTTAACCCAGGGTCGGATACCAAGAGACTAGAAAACTCTATGGTAAGCCCTCGCCTCATTTGGACTAAGTCATAACACAGGGTGATAATGTCAGTCAAGTGGCTCTCCTCCACCTCTAGCGAGAAATGATCATGCAGTCATCCTACTGGATTGGTCTGTCAAACAGCTTCGTAGACCCACCTTAACATGTAGGAGGCAAACATGAAGGTGATCATCTGTGCGGTCTTGGCTGAAAACTGGACAATTGATTAAGAAGCATCCGTAGAAAAGGCATGCACTCATTCCCGACATCTGTACAATCAGGTATCTCGACCTGGACATCCCCAAAGAAGAAGAGGCACGGTCTTAAGACCACGGCCCACTGCCGGGAGGTTGAGGCTAAAGGGTTTAAAACCCTTTAGAGCCTATTATCCGGAGCAGTTGTGTCCGATCCTTTAACTGACTCATTCGAGAGAATATTAGACACTCACAGAAGCATACTAGAAGATGAATAACATAGGCTTTATGCCTTCAGTCCTTAGCACACAAAGCTGAATCTGATAATTGGTTAGCTTTAGGATGTACAAGCTGTAAAGTTCATTATCAAAAGAGGTAGCGGTGTGATCCCTTGTAGGATCTATTCTGGGCGAACTCATTGTTTGTACTAGTTTCTTAGGTCCAAAGAAATATACTCCATGTGTTACTACGAGGTTACTCACTGTATTCTTAGTTATTAATAAATAAAGCAAGGATCATGAATCACCGTGACCAAAAACGCTCTTTTACCACTCAGAATCAGCTTATGGAGACAACCATTTCTGTATTTTTGTTTAGTAAAGTTTAGAGTTTTATTTATTTGATATTGCCGTACTTGTAATAACGTTTATTCTAATAGTTTACTTCGATTTGTCATATAGAATAACACTTGTTTGCTTAGTATGGGTCAGGTTTAAGATTGCACGAAATCCTGTGGTAAATTTACTGCATATTTTGTGTGAGCCAAGTTTCATTCACTTTAAGGCGGTAATTTGATAATAGTTATTATCCGCTCTTGTTTCGAAAGTTGTTGATATGGGATGTATTGTGAGCAAAGAAAAACTAGCTGCTATAGCTCGATCCAAAGACATTGACAGAAAACTAAAGGCTGATGGTGAGGCTTCATTTAAAGAGGCCAAACTGTTGCTCCTCGGTGCCGGAGAGTCGGGAAAAAGCACAATAGTTAAACAAATGAAGTACGTTACTGTAATACTGATTTGCAGAATTATTCATATGTCTGGTTATACTGAAGAAGAATGCAAAACTTACAGACCGGTCGTATTCAGCAACACCATCCAGAGCATGGTAGCCATACTGAGAGCTATGGAACAACTGCAGATATGTTGTGCATATCCGAACGCAATGGTATTTTTCATGTTATAAGTTAATTAAATCCAGAATGATATTGCTGTGGTCCTCAACCTTCCACGGACAGATGTTGACGTGCTACCCGACGAAGTATTTAGTGCGCTGAAGAGGCTCTGGTACGACCCAGGTGTTCAAACAGCTGTTAATAGGTCTCGAGAATTTCAACTGAATGATTCTGCATCATAGTGAGATACCTCTCAAGTCTTAATTGTATTTTAGCTTTCTTGACTCATTGGATAGGTTATCAAGTCCTTGTTATATCCCAACACAACAGGATGTCCTTCGGACTAGAGTAAGAACGGGTGGAATTGTAGAAACCCACTTCTCTTTTAAAGGATTAAGCATCAGGCAAGGAAAATGGCTATCTAAATTATTACCCTAGGATGTTTGATGTTGGGGGACAGCGTTCAGAACGAAAGAAATGGATTCACTGTTTCGAAGGCGTCACCGCAATTATATTTGTGGTTGCTATGAGTGAATACGATCTAACCCTTGCTGAAGATCAAGAAATGGTAATTATTTTATTAAAATTTCGTTACACATAAAAAGCTAAAGTTTTGGAGCCCATTGGTTCTAATGCAACCTAGACAACTTAAGTTAGTCAGGAAACTGGATACATCACTCTATTTAATCCAGTCATACAACTACGCCAGATACTACAGCTTAGTAATACCAATTCATTTTAACTGAGTAAACCTACTCAAAAGTTCCATCTGAGGCGGTTATTAGTTCCAGCGGTATCTGACAAAATCCGTCATAAAGATTATTGACTACTACATTGGATAGCTGAAAATTTGATGGCATAGATACACCATTGACTCTTCGATGTATGGAAATTCCATTACGCCAGTTTATTTTCTACCATTATTCATGTCCTTGCCAATTTTAAAATTTTCTGCTTTTCGACTATTTGGGTGGCCACAGTGTGTTTACGTAAGTTGACACCCTATGTTGTAGGGTTTTACGATGCGTTTTCGATGTAACACAGTAGTTTAGCAGGTGGTTTAAATCATTTAAGTTGATTCAGGTTTTATATTTTTTGGTTGAGGGAAAACAATTTTAGGTCAGGTGGATGCTCTTAGTTCTGTTCTCTGAATATTCATCACCGTTCTAAACATCAACACTTAATTTACGTAGAATATTTCTTTGTCCAATCCTAATGCTCAACCAATGCTTTATTTCAAAGTTATGTGGTAGGCTTTATAGGCACTTGATAAATTTTAATCATGATCGTGCTCTACATCCAGGCATATCACTCTTGAGCAGTCACTTTCAGATGGCCAATAACCAGCAAACGATTTTCAAACAAATATTAGTTAAGACTATGTTCAACAGACATATGAGTATCATGTCTAATTTGTTTGTACTCTATAATTGGTTGGTGCACATCTCACCATAGTTTGGCTTCTAATAGACACAACTCTCTTTTGGTTTTGGTGCTTTTTGTTTTTGTTACAGAATAGGATGATGGAATCTATGACATTGTTTAGTTCAATATGTAATAACCAGTGGTTTACAGAAACAAGTATCATTTTATTTTTAAACAAGCGAGATATTTTTGAAAACAAAATAATGAAGTCACCGTTAACCATATGTTTCCCAGAGTACACTGGTAAGCTTTGAATTTTTCCAGCTTTTAATTTATGCTGTGTTTCTCAATTTAAAAATAAACATTCTAAACGTGTAGTACAATATTATTAGAAAATAGTGATTTGAGAAATTGTCGCTCTGGTTATTATTTTAAATGTTGCTTGATTGCTGATGAATACTAGTGTTGCTCCAGGTTTTGTTTTCATTTGGTTATTCAGTGATACAGGGTAGTTATTTACAATAGGAACCAGTTAGTCTTTCTAAAGATGTGTAAATTGTTAATAATTTCTATCTGTAAGATAGGAGATTGGACTTAACATCAACGAGATTGTTGAATTTTCTTTATTAGCTCTGATCAATAAATAGGTTTGATTTTTTTTGGAATGTCAGATGGTGAAAACGATTTGTAGCTCAGGTGGATGATTTTGGTGGAGTGTATCGGAAGTTAAACTGAGTGATGTTATTACGATATCCTGTGGGGTCATAACACTACACGCTCTCAACAATTTAGATAATAAGCAACATAGACTACTGTAAACGAACTTACCACATTCGTTTGCTTACTGACTCTTCATTAATATTGAAATTCAGATTTTTAAAACTTTAAAACATTTTATGCTGACAGTATCAAGCATTCTGTTTTTCCAAGCACCCATATTTAGCGCAAGTTTACCAATCTTGATCGAATAATGATTACTACCGGAAAAATTACTCTGGCTTCAACGCTCATTCAGAAAAATCATATTCACAATCATTTGATAACATCCGTTTTTATTTATATTTATTATTTTTCTTCTATACTATATTATTTATGTATTCCCTTTTATTCCCATTTTGTGTATTTTATTTTCAAACTTATACAGCAGCTCGCTTATGGTTTAAACCCTGTCTTATCTAACCAATCTCAAGTCACTGACTGGTCGAAAGTTGAATGTCACCACCGACTACGGATATTGAACCAGTCTTTCTGAAACCATGTATACTATTCAAACTGGCCTCCTTCAACGTTCAGACACTAATGCAAATAAAAATGTTAGCTGTCTTTAGAAAAACTCAACATTTATATCTATTGTCCATCCCAGATCCGTATTCAAGATTAGTGAATTACTAAAAATTTGCCCTCAGTCTGCCGCTTCGAAGTGCTTGTTTCACGTGCGTTTATCCGGGGACACTGTGGCATCCTTGTCTGATTTTACTGAAGTTGGTGTCGCTCTGAGCGCTAGAGTTGAGACAGCACTAACCGATTCGATCCCCACTAGCAGTCATTTATGTGCAGTTAGATTAGAAGGCTCTATTAAAGTGCGAAGAAATTAGTGTGAGAATGGTGTTTTTTCGTCATCTCCGCCTACACCTACAGATCGCAGCCCGGATTGGATCAAGGATGAGTTTTACCACCAGTTAACGGTTCTTCGGAAAATGCGTTCGACAGATATAGTACTAGCTGGGGACTTGAATGCTCAGGTCAGCCATCTAGGAACAGAAGAGAATCGTTTAGGTGGCTGATGAGGACTTCTTGGTCGCAGGTCAGGTAACAGGGACCGTCTACTACAACTGCGCAGACCACAACCTATTTCTGGCTAGCACTAACTACTGGCACAGTCATCGCCGATATGTCACATGGCGCCCCCTTCTGAATCTCAAGCCTGGACTCAGATTGATCACATCGTGATCAGCTATCGCTGGGGTGGTTGTGTACAAAACTGCCGCTCCTTTTGGAGTATCTATCTGGACTCTGATCATACCCTCGTTTGCGCTAATCTTACCTTACATTTCAGTGGCCAAGAAATTCATCGTCCTAAACGGACCAATGTCAGTAAATTGGTTGCAGCTTGTGTTGCAACTAAATATCAAACCAAGTTAGGATCAAGGCTAGCTAACAGCCCACCGAAAAGTAAGTATAAGCGTTCATTGCAGTTGCATGACGCCACGAAAACGGCAAGTTAAGTCGCTTGCGGCTTCTCAAAACATCCTGCTTATAAACACTAGGTTTCTATAGGCTCCATACAATCGACTGAACCACGGTCTACTCCAAGTGACCGCGAGTTTGACCATGAACGAAGACTGTTGTGTAAGGACCGAGAAGCCTGGTGGTCGTAGCGTGCTAACGAGTTGAGATCAGAGGCTGAATCTGGCAATTATCGGAAGCTCTTTTAACTCATCCGAGTCACTGGCAGCAAGAAGTCTTGTGTGAGTGAAACAATCTGTGAAGATGACGGGATACCAATCACTAACATTTATCGATGTCTTGGACGATGCGCAAAGTTTTTTGAGGAGCAGTTCAACTGGTCTGTTGCCTCGGCAATATCGATCAAACTGTCCTATCATCCATGGCTCGTGACGACTGATCCACCTGACGAAGCGGAAGTCCTCAGGGAACTCCAATTCCTGATGCGCCACAAATCACTAGGCCCATATTGACGTACTTCCGGTCCTTTTTGAAGATAGTGGCGACTTTCTGGTTCAGGAACTGACTGAGCTGTTTACAGCGGTCTGACAATTAGAGAGTGTTCCAATATCGTGGAGTGTGTCGATAGTTGCTCCTATTTTTAAGAGGGGTTCACGTCGTTTCTGCACTAACTATCGGGGGATGAGTTTACTTTCGATTGCATCCAAACTATTGGCTCTGCTATACTTCGTAGATTGTTCAAAACTCGAAAAAGATTGACTCTCGAGGAGCAGGGTGGTTTTCGTTCTGATCGAGGATGTATTGATCATATCTTCACCCTCCGCCAAATGTTAGAACACCGTCATACTTATCAAAGGCCAACAATCATAGTGTTTCTTGACATCAGGGCTGCCTTCCATTCGTTGGACAAAACTGTTTTCTGAGACTGTTTATTGAAGGGGTGCTTGGGTTTATTAATAGCTTGAATTCCCTGTAATACAAATGCCCCAGACAGAATGAGGTCATACAACCACCTCTCTCCATTGTTCCATTCGAGCAGTAGGGTTAGACAGGGTTGCCCAATCTCACCATTCCTCTTCAACGTTGCCATCGATGGCGTCCTGGAAACAGCTCTGATGGATGTAATAGTGGTGTGGATCTGTTGCCTGGAGAAAGACTTTTCGACCTTGATTATGGGGATGATATTGTCTTACTGTGCGATGATACGCAAGCCATGCTATCCAAACTTAGTCAGTTGGCAATTAGTGTCTGAAGGTATGGTATATGCTTTGCACCTGCCAAGTGCAAAGTACTTCTGAACATGCACTCACTATGGGTAGTGAGCAAATAGAAGTAGTCGAGAAGTTTGTGTATCTGGGTAGCTGTGTAAGCAAGTGATTGATGAAATCAATTCACGTATAGTGACAGCCAAAACGGCTTATGCTGGTCTGGGTCATCTCTGGCACCTTTGTGATGTTAGTTTGACTGTAAAAGGTTGGATCTACAACGCGTCAGTGAGAGCAGTTTTGCTCTGTGTTTGTGAAACCTAGCCTCTCCGAGTTGAGGATGTTAGATGACTCTCTGTGTTCGACCATCGTTGTCTCCGGAGGATTGCTGACATCCAGTGACAACACCATGTTAGTAATGCAGAGGTTCGGCATCGTGTGTTTAGGCGCAGAGACGATAATCCAATTGATGTCACTATCGTGAAAGATCGACTTCACTGGCTTGGACATGTTCTACGTATGTCTTCCCATAGAATTCCACTTCCTGCATTATTTGTTGACTATGGGACCGGTTGGAAAACTCAGAGAGGTGCTCAGTGTATGATACATTGTCGTGGTATAAAAAAGATGTACAGAACTGGCTTCTGTTAGTCCTTCACAACTCCCTGGCCGGGTCCTAGAAATGATGCAGCACAGTAGCTAGAGACGTTATCAGACAGGGTTCAGAATAAAAGCCAGTGGTGATCCTACTGCAACTTTCTTTTACTTTCTTCATGAAAAATGAACGTAACTTCTTTAATTGAAAAAATTCTTTCTGGTTGTATTTTTGCTAACTGAATTGCTTCTTTTTCTTCTTCTTCTTCTTCTTCTTCTTCTTCTTCTTCTTCTTCTTCTTCTTATTATTATTATTATTATTATTATTATTATTATTATTATTATTGTTATATTATTATCATTATCATTTTTATTATTATTACTATTATTTCACTCTCATACACTGATTTATATTCGTTGTTGTTCTTTTTATTATACGCACTTCACATTCTCCATCTCTTCACAACCTCATTGCTATTGTTTGGCGTATATGTATTCGGTGTCCCCCCTGTACCAGTGTTTATGTATTCGAACAAAATAAAGTCTTGATGATATGTGTGGTTACTATAAATGTTTTAAGTATTAGTGTTATAATCTCGTCTCCAGATAGTCTACTATGTCCCCTCCTAACGTTTGATCACTCAGCCAAACAGGGGAAGAAAAATGTAACGATTAATATGCATTGTCTGATGCTGAATGATTATACTTGCTGCAACCAGTGGACATTGATCGGAAGACAAACTGTCTCCAATATGAATCACATTATTGTCAGCCACTAAATTGTTCTTGAGCCTATACGATTAGTACAAGGTTGGGAAACTTTTCATCAGATTTATCAAAACAATTTCAATTTTCTACTTATTTAATTGCTATCAGAGCGTCAAAGCTATACATATCCTAGCAAACTATACAGTTCACTGTGAAAGGACCGTTTATACACTTCTTGGTAGAGAAACTTAAACCGATGGACATTTGTTCCAGGTCCTACGTTGCTCATTACAAGCTCCGTCCAATTTCTCTATCACTTCTCTCAAAGCCTCTCAAACAAATCTGAGCAGAAATATTCTGAAAATCTATTAAAGTCTAATCTCTTGACTACTGTAAGTGAAAACCTGTTTTACGCAAATAATATCAAGCGATGTTTTACCACTACTCGATTTGACTGTAACGATTGTGGTAGTCAGTTCTACTAAACTCTTAACTTAGTTAGGAGGTATGCTAGTTTTGATTTAGTAACATTTATTTGGCTATCGTTGTCTTCGCCTATGTAATAGTTCTCCAATGAAGTAGTAATGAGTTGAATAATGCGTCAATTAGTTTTGTTGAAATTATAGTGGCTAAATTTGACGAGGTATGGGTCGTATATGAATAGCTACTGTTTCGTTGATTTTTGATGAAGAGTGCAATTAATTTCAATCCAGTTAAACAATCATGTTATAAAGAATTATGTGGAAACTTTTTCATCGACTATCTTGTGATCACACAAATTTATCATTTCAAAAAATGCTTTTAAGTTTAATCATAGGTGAATTACTTTTTTCCCATATTAAAGGATGTTTTACACCTTTTTCTGATTAGTTTACTTTTGTGCTTTTCATTTACTTCCTAAACTTTTGATTAGGTGGGAATAACTATGAAGAGGCTTCGGAGTATATTCGATCATGTTTTGAAAATTCAAACACTCGTAGTGGACCTAAAGATATTTATTCCCATTTCACATGTGCAACGGACACAAGTAATATACAGTTTGTGTTTGATGCTGTAACTGATGTAATAATTAAAAACAACCTCAAGGATTGTGGGATATTCTGATTTTATAAAAAAGAAAATTAGTCATCTTTTCTGATTTTGAACTTCCTTACGAAACAGTTTTTGTAAATTAAGTGTAGCAATTTATTTATTATATTTTACGTTATATGCTTTTTTTAAACTGTTCTGTCTAACTTCCGAGTAGTCGAGTGTAACAAGAACATAACAGCTTCAATTTATATATTTTTATTGGTATTAGTATCTAGCTATATTTCTCAGTATAATAAATGCGATTTTGTTAAACGCTGGCCGAAACTTAATTTTATCTTGTTTTTGTTCTCTCTAGTGTTCTGTTTAAATTCACTACTTGTAAATAAATCTTTATGTTTTGTTCCACTTCATTTGTTTGCATTCTAAAACTCAGTTCACTTTATCGTTTTGTAGTTGTTACCATGGCTCAATGGTTGGGCTTGTCTATTATAAAGACGCGGTCATACTACATTGGTTAGAGAGCCTATTCCATGAAGTTATATCATGATAGTTAATCCAGATAGACAATGTTGAGACCAAAACGAACAAACTTGAGGTTCAAAAGTAGGTTTACACTCCTTATTACAGTGCCGCGCACTGGCGGTTAGATGTTCTCCATCGATAACCACCATTTACTAAGAGGTTGCCTTTTAGTGGACATAGAGAGGTTATGAAAAGTCGAAAAGCTCAAAGGCGAACAGCTCTGTATATTAGGTATATCGGACTACTTCATAACTGAGTATTTTTTGTGGTGTTAGCTACCAACTTTGCCCAATCGATCTGTGACATATTCACATAGATGAAAATGTGAATTCCCAGAACATAGTCCAACGTAACTTAATTCATAATATTTAAATTGATAATCATTCTTAATAAATAATCTTTTACTATTGGTGTCTCTAGGGGATTCTCAGGAAAAAGTCGTTATGATTTTATTGAGTGGAATATTTTCTGGACTCTGCCTGACAGATGAATTAATATTTAGCTAGTTGAAGTATAATGTACAAGATGTTTTATAATTTGTAAACAGGATTTTCCGAGCCATCTCCTCACTGGGTCTGACTTTAATGTAAAATTATCCTGTGTTATTTCGTACGGCTTAAAGTTTGAAACAATCTTGCTTTATCTATCATCTAGCAGTGAAAATCTACGATCCATGAAATACTACAATCTATCTGAACCAAAAAAATAACCGGACAGAAGTAACTGTTCATGGTTCAAACCAGGAAGTGTGTCATCAGTCAATTGGCTTGCAGGGAATAATTTCTCATTCTTCAAGACCATTAAAAATGAAAATACGAGATTGCGAGTTATATTGTCCTTGGATATGGCATCGTCAATCCCTATTGCTTCACTCATAGAGGTAGTCAATAATACATTCATTTGACTGGGTTAGCGGAGAATAAGTGGTTACTAAATTCGTATTACTATAGCGGGCGCTACTCACGTAGCAAGTTATTTAGTGTTGATCCCGGTGTGAGATGTACGGCTCTAAACTTCTGTGACGCCTCTAGCTGGGCCATCAGCATTCGAGGAACGAGGTCACCCCGATATTCCTTCTCGTCCACAAGAGCAATCCCACCGAAGGTAACCACCCTGCCACATAGTAATGTCCCCAATACCGTCACCTTAGCTCAGGGTTACCTCAAACCAACAAGCCTCGCTATCGACCCGAACTACCTGAAATAGTTCTCGATGTCCCAGTCTCCAAAATGGATTCAGTCACAGCACTTTCATCTTGATCCTGGTAGCGACACCAGATATGTGAAGGAGATATATAGGAAAAGACTATATAAGTATCGAGGTACAAAGTATTTATATAATGCATATAAATGTAGCCTTCAATCACCCATTTGTATCTTTCGGTGTGTTCTTAGTCTAGCTAGATTGGAAGCCGCTCACTTAAATATTTTGGTAGTAAATTCATGTTTTACTGTCGATATACAGTTGGTACATTCATTCTTTATAAAAAAAACGACAAAAATGCCAGCTTATCTTCCACATTAAAGAAAGTATGCTCAAATTCCATGTGAGTAGTACGATTAAAGCAGAACAGCATTTTTAGATGATATACTTTCATGAAGTAACAGGTAAATTTGAAATGAGGAACTTAGATAATAAGATGATTTAGGTACGATGTCAATTCTTATGTTATTCGTGCAGCATATGCAACAATCAATTCTTTTCGTATTTGCAGCAAATATTTCATGTGTACATCATAGTAGACAAATCATGAACGAAAATGGAATAAATTCGGATAGGAGAGGTGTTTACCAGTCTGTTCAATCTAGGTATGAATCACTTTATAGAAGAAAAACAGACAATGTATTAATCACAAGAAGATAGATACATTCAGGCAAAACATACACGTACATCTTTATAGAAAGTGGACAATATAATTTAAAGGGTTAGAAATAACTCATGAAAATAAAGTTGGATAAAAGGTCACGAAATGCTTGATTGAATTGGAATAAATCATTTAATAGTTATGGCTTTGTACAAACAAAAAAAAACAAATGGGTGTATAGTTTAAAAAAAGAGACATTACAATAACTACACGCAATTTGTTTTAGGTGTGGCATCTTTCACGTACAAAGAACTAAATCTACAAGTTATTTTCATTAATTTATAACCACTTTCCACGCCAATTGGAACTTGGTATAAATTTCTCTGTTTGTTGTTTATTTGCAGTTTGATACTCAATAGATTTACAACTAGTAAGTGTAAACTAATTGTAAAGCAATTAGTCCCTTTGATAAATTTGGTTAGTGTGAAAACAAGACGAAGACATATATATTAGCAGAATACATTTCGATCAACCGAATCATACATACTTTTTATGAACATTTATACATAAAAATAAAAGGTCAACTAGACAAATGGGAGGTAAAAGGAAGCAAAGATAATAAGGTAAATAATGTAAAACTCAACACGGTGGATAATAAACATATTACCATGGTAGGTTTAAGGTGAGAACAAATTGTTTTTGAATACATAAAAAGGTTTCGATTTTCGTATGGCCAAAGCTTCAATAAATCTTAGTATACACCCTTTAACACTTTTGTATAACACCAAAAAAGCAGTGTTAAGATAAGTCTCATGACCTGTTCCAACTATATGTTTATCAGTAGAGGAAGATGGAGGTTTATTATCTACTCTTAATGGATCATTTAATTTTATTTATTTTTGTAACCATTTAGGTACATGTTCAGATATTTTCATCTGTCGTTTTGGCGTTAGGAGAAAGTTAAATGTATTTTATAATGTTTGGGAGACTAGGATGTATACTCAGTGACCCCAGTGTATAATATATACTAATGAACATAGCAAATGGGTAGTTGAATTTTGATACTATTGAATAGCAAGTGGGTAAGTTTATCCCATGGTAACTGCGCTATTGATACGGGCCGATTTCACGTCAACGGTCAGAATTAAGGTTGATAGGGTGCAATTAGATTAACCCTGTTGTAATGAGCTATGGTCTTAATGAAGTATAATGTGGAAAAATAATGAGATATAGGATCGATTAGACAACAATTTACACATTGTTTGACCTTACTAAATTGTTGACTAGGTAAAGACCTACTTACAAGTTGTAAGTAGAATGAAACACTTTACGTATAAGATTTTATTGAGGGTTCCTGTCTTTGTTCAACTAGTCTAATCCACGAAATTCCTGACTGAAATAGGTAGTATGGAAGTTAGTTGAAATTTATCATGACTTTAGAAGTATAAACTTGAGGAAAATGTTATAAACTTCCGCCTAGAAGTACACATTCACATTGAGAATGAAAAAAGGATGGTTTTGAATTTTCGAGAAGAAATAGACAACTATACAGAAGAATTACACTCCGAATTGAATATTCAAACATGTTTCTCCTTCAAAGGTTGAATAATTGCCTAATACACTTGTAATATCAAACTACTGAAGACAACATTATATTAGTGAAGGTTATGAAAAAATAGAATAAATCTGTTGTTTTCTTCTCAATAGTAACTTATCTTCAGCATAACTCAACCGTCCAATCAGATTTCATCGAACCATGAAAGCTATAAATAATGCTCCAAAATAAATAGATCAGTAATTTCACAGACTAAATTATGAGTCAATTGAAGCTAAACCACCATGGGAAACCTGGAAGCACTGGACGGTTGTTTCGTCCCAATATGGGACTCCTCAGCAGTGCACATCCACGATCCCACACCCCGCGAGATTGATAGGTCCTGGGTTTGAATCTCATGGGGTGCAGGATCGTGGATGCGCACTGCTGAGGAGTCCCATACTAGGACGAAACAACCGTCCAGTGCTTCCAGGTTTTCCATGGTGGTTCTACCTTCAAATGACTCATGATTTCAATCTGTGGAATTTCTAAAATCTCCACAAACCTCTCAGATCAGTAATTATTTAACAATTGTTGACAATCAATTCTTAAAAACACATTTAGCGAGTACTTTTGGATAGTAAATAATAATTTGATGTAGATTCTTTTTCTTACCATTTATAGTCAACAACAAAAATCGTTTACTAAAATTTTCTTTGTTTCCTTTATGTTTAGATTAGTAAGGTTCATAATTTTTGAGTTCTAATGAGACAACTTTTATAGTTTATTATCGATTTCTGTCCTCTATGATATAAAAAACCCATATTGAACAATGATGCTAGAATCAACTTAATAAAAGTTATGAAATTGAATTCGAAAACAATGATCCCAACATCATGACACGAAATTTCCATAAAGTATCACAGTAAATTCAATCAGAGCAGTTCTACAAGAGTAGACAAACAAACACTGGCATAAATTTGTTTTTTACTCAAAACGATTGCAAGACAACGTAACTAAAATGAGTAACTTTAAAGAAAGCTTTACGCTATGCATTGTGCTGAATATCAGTTTAGTTAATTAATTAAGAATTCTAACTTTATTCATGGACCAAGAACCACTGAGAAATCTCAGTTTCTTAAGGAATATATATTATCTCCCTGAGTAGAGATGTGTAGATATTATCTTTTGTTGTAGCAGAACGAATATTGAAGAAATTTTGGTCCTTGGGACTAATGTGAGGATCATTATATTGTAGCGTGGCGTCGAGTTGAGGTTGACTATGAACACCGCTACAGAGAAACACGTGCCAAGTAAATCAGAAGGCGAAGGTTGAACGTAACGAAATAAATCCATAAAATCCCCGAGAAGCCAAATATCAGAAGACAGTTAATGGACCAAGTCGAGATATATTTGCTGGCGATCTCATGGTATAGAAAGGATACCGAGATCGTGCCAGGATACAAGCTTGGTTACAGAACGTAACCGGATTCACGCGAAGTCACAATCAAAGTGTAAGAATAAGAATGGAAGCACAATATAGCTGTCATTAGCACAGTCAAACAAAAGCACATTAAAACAAACACTGGTACAGTTGGTTATAATAATAATTGTTTTTATTAAACCAGTAGTGTTCTCGTGATAAATGTGAGTCACTACAATATTTTCATTGTCCAGTTAGTAGATAACCATATTACTGTATTTCTATTTTTTCGCTATTGTAAGTTTCTAGTTGACTTATTAACTGTCTTCAAATCTTAATTATTGCTAAATAATCATGTACTGTTTGTTTCGTCCTTTGCCTCTTACTGCACGATTTCGTTTAAACTATGGTTTCTTATTTGGTGCGCTGTCCAGTCTGATAATTCATTTATATAAGTTAATGAGTATTTGAGATAAATGGTTGGTGTTTGACTGCGCCCGATCGTAGCTGCTACCTTGTTGTGGTCATCGGGTTTTTCTCTCATGGCAATTCAGCCGAGCCATATTCTCTGCAACACGTATTCCTTTGGGTCCTACTATACCAGGCAGGTTGGTTAGAGAACGGTTAGACCAAAAGCATCAATACAAGGTCCAAGAGCGAGGTCGTACTGCTGACTGTAGAGCGATGTGACATCAGAAATGCTACCTACTTGGAGCAGGAAAAAGGGGTTGGGAAAGTTTGACTCTAAACATCCCACACTTCACCTTATCCTACGGATTTCTGTCCCCGGCGATAGAGCCTTTTAAAATGCGAAGCTAAGACGTCAAAACCTCCAGTGAGAAGGCCGTTAGCGACCGGTGTCAAACAGTTGTACATTGAACTGTGAGACCATTTTGCCATGTCACTAAGATCATCACTAGCCCAACTTCCTTTTCAGGTCCCTCAAGTAGAAATATCCCTCCATAGTGGGAGGCAGCTGGGAAATGACAACCACCTTCATAAATCTAATAGAACCCGATATCATCTTGCTCACGATCAAATCCCTTCCTTAGAACTTAATAATTCTGTTGTGAATACGAAAATCTCTCCTTTCATATATTTATCACCACATGCCACCAATGCTAATGATTTGAGTTTATTAAAAGTTATTACTGGTCTCCTAAAACCACACTCCGAATTACATGTTGGAACATTGTGTCATATAGAACAACAAGCTTCTTTAGCTAAGACTCAAGAATCTCACTCCGTTAATGTATGCTGCATCTGTGAAATGCGCATAAAGAATCCAAATATAGTCATTCATTTGACCTTATCTTGTCTATATAAAGGACTAGCGAGATTCATCCTTAGTGTATATGGAGTTCCCATTGTTACTTCGCAACTGAATATTCCCTAACTAATTATGTTGTAGCAACTATCCTACAACCAATTTCGATTATGGTTAATTTTGGTTAAACCCTTTATCACTGATTGAAATCATGAGTCAATTGAAGCTAGACCACCAGGCGTGGGACTCCTCAGCAGTGTGCATCCACGAACCCGCACCCCGCGGGATTCGAACCCAGGACCTACTGGCTTCACGCGCGAGCAATTAATCATTAGACCACTGAGCCGGCATCCAACGGTGTTAATGTCTAACTTCAACCAATCCACGAAGTTGCGCCACCGTACACCGTCGTCTTCAGTGAGTTGATATCTCACAACAGGCCTGGTTGAACCCCACTGGTAACGGCTCCTCACTAGAACTCCAGGAGTATCTTTTGAAGTCAGTCACTAGTGAGCGCCTGAAGCGAGACTGATAGGTCCTGGGTTTGAATCTCATGGGGTGCGGGATCGTGGATGCGCACTGCTGAGGAGTTCCATACTATGACGAAACTGCTGTCCAATGCTTCCAGGTTTTCCATGGTGGTCTAGCTTCAACTGACTCATGATTTCAATCAGTGAAATTTCTAAAATCTCAACGAAACCCCTTCTGACAAACCCTCTATATCAACCTACTTAACACACAATGTTATTTGAATAGTAACAATTCGTATATTTATTCGTATCGTCATGATCATTAAGTCACATGACAGACTATAGCTAAAATGTTGATTACTTAAATATCACTCGATGATTCATTCTCCTCCCTAATGTAGACATATATGTACTCAGATCCTATTATTGGCTTTTGCTATGCCTTACTGTGCCCTTATGCCATTTGATTAAACATTTGCCTATGTAATTACACACAAATACACACATTCGCCTCTCCGTTTCAAATTCACTTGATATGCTTATAGCTTTGTGATCTGCACTATCTTCTAATAAACTGTAATTGCCGCTTCTCACTACCTTCTGATTTTAATCACCATTGCGATTTATATTATAACGGTTAGTCAATCAGTCAGCCAGCTACAACGTAGAACCAGGCACATATGTGCATCGGTCCAAGTTGCCATACCGCATCAGCACAACAAGATGAACACCGGATTCATAGCAGTGGTTAGGTCAAAGGTGGTAATATATAAAAGAAAGATTGCATATAGAGATATAGTACAAGAAGAAAGAATTGGTTCGTAGAAAGATATGAAGTGATTTTAATCTCTTAGTTTAAGGGAAGACAGGGAGTGTATACACCGACGCCATTGTGATCGATTCTGAGCCATGTCACCAAGAGTCTCCAACCATTGGTTACGATAGTCACGCGGACCCCAACCAAGTAGTCTGCATCTACCAACATGGCTCAGACTAGGAGTTAGTGACTTCAAGCACTGATGCCACGTTTTGGTTTGGCCGCCCCTAACTTTCTTCCAACCATCTCCAATACCGGATAGCATTGCACGTCGTGGTAATCGGTGTTCAGGTTAGTGAGAGTGATCAATTAACGAAGCAAAGTCACTGTACAATATAAATACATACACATATATTTTTCTTCTAATTATTTCTTATATCTGACATAGATTTTGAATAAAGGTAAGAATGATGATAAATTGAATATTGTTTTATATATATATAAGCATTGAATGAATGAAATATTTGTCATTGAAAAGTTGTTAATTTAGGCGCTATTGATAAATTATTATGTTTCCAATGTAAATGATCATTTATACAACATGTTAATTCTTCATATGTTGTATCACATATTGGTTGACAACTATCAGTTGGTGATAAATTTGTTTGTTGTGTATCTATTGAATATGATGGACTAGATATTGGTATATGTGATATAGTACTAAAATGTAATTTAGATAATTCATTTGGTGTACGTATATAACGTACTGATCTACGTTGATGATGTTCATTGATTGGAAGTTTTGGTAAAGTTGATGAATTTCTTAAAACACTTTTTGGTGATATTTTTTTTAATGAAGGATAATTGATTTGATTATTATTTGTAATTAATTTTATTTTATTTTGTAAAGTTTCATGATCATATTGTTGCTTTATAAAGGGTTCTGTTGGTGATGATAAATTTGTTTGATATAAATTTGGTTCATAATTAATATTTGTCCATAAAGCACTGTAAATAAACAAAAAAAAGGAGTGATTTGTTTGAATTTAATTCATGACTTATGACGACACTGTTGGATACTTTCCTCAATGTATGTCTTATCCATTTCTAGCATTTCATCTCAGCGGAGAAAGAAATCAGGAAGAAACGCTGAAAGTGGATAGGACACACACTGAAGAAAGTACCCAACAACGGTTATAACCCAGCTATTCCTATTGCTTAGTATTCTCGGACACCGATTCACTCAACAAGTCCCCAAATCAGAACACGGTTGAACAGTTAAGAGATTATATTCCAAGTAACAAGGTTAGATAGAAGTAAGAAGCAAGTAAGTGCAATAGGGAAAACGTTAGTATATTTATAGTTTTCCACATGAGATTTCTAGTGTTCACTAAGTATTGACTAACGCTGATTGGATAAGAATTAGCCAACCAGCGTGCGCCGAAGCAATTGTGCATTGAGCATGCTTTAATCCAATCTATGTCCCGTTAACACAAGCTTTCACTTGGAATTCTCAAGGCTAAAGGAAAGGAGGAAGACCAAAGAACACATCATGCCGAGAAATGGAGACAGATATGGGAAGGATGGACGAAAATTGTATAGAACTAGAAAGGAAGGTTTAGGATAGATTGAGTTAGAGAATGGTGGTCGGCGGCCTATGCTCCATTGGGAGTTACAGGCGTAAGTAAGTGAGTAAGTAAATAATTTGTTTATTTAAATATTATGTTATTATTGATTGAGAACATGAACCGATTGATGTTAGATCACCATCGGAAAACTTGGAAGCTTATTGTGTTAGTTTACTTCAAATTGTATGTCAGTATTAAGTAAGTTTAGGAATGTTTAGTTTTTAGGGCTAGTCAGTAGAAAGTCCTGAAAGTGGGTACTGAATATATAAGTTTAAAGACAAAATTATAAACTACATAGAGATTATCAGATCTATATTAATAACTTAAAACACAATGGTGACTGATATGTATATATAAATGGGATAGAATTAGGTTAAAAATGTTCTCGTTTGTCATAATATTTTACTACCATACCATAATACGACAGGGTAAGAGATTATATTACCATTAGACTAGATACTTGGTCGATACACTCTGCATAGATTGAAATCATGTTTTACCATATATACGATACACATCGAAATGCAGAGAACTTGAATAATACACCAAACAATAATCTATTCAACATAATTACAAGCAGTCTGCATTCAATGAGGTTCAGGGTAGAAATAAATAATGATAAAGAATCCACATACTGAAAAGTTAGTAAGTTGAGTATGTCTCTCTCTTTGAACAGTGATTTTGCTAAAACTTTAAACAATCGGTTTCTAAGTTTTCAACAGGTTGATACAAAAAAATTTATCTTCTAAATTAACATTTAAAATATATTATATCTGAATTTTTGACAAGATAAGCTGTTAAAGTGAAATAATTCTAGCGATGAATAATACTCTAAAACAAACTATTTATGGTGTGTACTACTGATGTCAATAGATATAAGTAGTATGTGTAATCAATTGAAAGTGGAATACCTAGCAGTAGTAAATTAAGAAAATCGAAGAAATGAGAGTGAGAACAGAGAATGTTTGGTATGGAAATGAAGGAACAGTGAAGTCTGAGACGATTGATTGACATTTGCAAAAGGAACAGTCAAGTTCGAGACAACTGGTTAGCATTTTGCAGATGAAGTATTTGCTATATGGTTCTCAGATTTTACTAAGATGTTCTGTCTCCCCACTTGAATAAATTCTCGGTATTTGGTGACAAAGTCATTAGTTTTCCGGAGTTCATTAGCTAAAAGTATACGTCATTTTGGGTGATCTACTATGTAAATCAAACACCCTTTGCATTGTTTCTGTTGGTCAATTCACTAACCTTATCTTATCTGTCTCTGAAAGGTATTAGATAAACTGTTTAATCATGGCTTGTTGTATTAGTCTAAAACAGTGATCATTTTGATCCGCTGTGTTATCATAGTACACTCTATGTAAACTTAGTATCATTGTCATCTCATTAAGCTAAAGATTCGGATTTCGTTTTGTTATAATCTTTTGTACAGTTCCAAAAGTCCTCAAAGTATGAGTATATATCTTTGAAGTCGATACATTATAAGATCGCAAAAGTCAACTATACTTAGTGTTATTCGCAATAAATACAGAACAGAAATATAGTCTTGAGGTAGATTTTTAATTCAGCTAGTCAAGTCAAGGTCTGATCTGGGACTACTGTACATCAATCCAAGTTGTTTATCATTATGTTACTAAACAAAAAGCAAATAAAAAAGACAAGGTGTAACGGAGAAAAATTAATATGAGCTATAATGGAAATCTTGATATGTAAAATACAGTACACAATTAACAACACAACTCTTGATTACAAGTATTACCAGGTAGTCTATACATAGGAGCATGACTCACATCAAGAGTCATTGACTTCATAGAATACTATCATACCTTGACCTATCCACCTCCAGACTTTTTCTTTATATGTCAACCAATATTAAACGTCAAGCAACCGTAACATATATCCCAACCACCTAAATGAATCTGTGGTGTATACTACTTATTTTTGCAGATAAAAGTCGTATATAACACCGGTTGGAGGTGGAATGTCTGCGAACATAAGGTTTAGAAAATGAGAATGAAGAGAAGAGAAAGGGAAACTGAAAGCAATCAGGATAACAACATGAATGAAGAAACAATGAAGTTTGTAAGAGACAATTCAAAGAAGATATGCGAATGATGCATACGATGTATTATTTTCACGTTTTATTAAATCACTGTGTGATTGTTCATTAAACAATAAATTGGTTATCCCCAAATGACTTATTTGTTCACTACAAATCTACCCCTCTTAGCGTATTGCATTATATTTAACCTAAGGATTAGATAGTTGATCTATTATTATACAAGGAATGCTTTGGAGACAGTTAAGATCATAAACCTACAGTCCACATACGTTTTCCACTTCCATAGACCATGTTTCACAGTTATATAGCCATACAGAATTAACTGGTGAGTGATATATTCATCGTTTCTTAAACAGACATTTTGTCTAAGACACAAGCGGTAATTAAAAGATACTTGATTTTTTTTAAAATGAAAAACCTTAATGACATAAAAGATATTATTCATTCTGTTCCATCACCGATGAAAGGTTTTTGTGGTGAATAACTGTTGGGGTGATCCAGAAAAATTTTCGCAAAGGCCGAGAAAGGCTCATGAAACACTAAGAAGCATTTTATCCAATCAGCGTTCATTAGACGTTTAGCCGGAAACATCAAGAAAGTGAAAAGTCACATGTAGAGTTTCTGATTGGCTGATTACTATACTGCTACTATGTTTAGTAGCATTCTGGAATTCTCGGGAAACCCAAAGACATCTAAAATACCATAAAAACCCTATATTTTCTGTACTGAAACGAAACTTTAGAGTACAGTGCTTCTCGGATATTTTGCGCCTTTTCCCTTGTGTTCAGGTCTGTGTGTATTTCTAGCTTGAGGGTTACGAGAACAGAATAGCGTTCAATTAGCAAGAGTTATCAATAACTTTATTTTTCTTGTCTCAGTCATGAGAACTAACAACTCTGTTCCTTCAGTTGAAACAAAGTTGATGGGTTTTGTCATGAAGTTGTGTAAATCATACATACTACTCACAAGTAGCCTAAATAGTAATGATAAAATAGTCTTGAAGAGAACTGTGTTGAAATTTTTTTTAGCGAAACAATCGATTTCTGCTTTCAAAATAAATGAACATTTTCTCAACGAACCAGCACTTATAATGTCTTCAAAGACACTCCTCACTGGTCAAAATACACCATTTGAGTGGTTTTATCTTTGTTATCATGAAGTCCTAAGAAAATTATATCTTAGTATGATTAATATTCTGTTTGATTTTGACGATAAATAGTTATAATTGGAAGATAGTATAATGGTTAGTGGTTATTTTTTAATTTTCCTGGCTATCTATTAGTGATGTGTATTAGATCAAAAGGACAAACTATTATTGTATTGATCTGTAATGGCTAAAATAGAGGTTCGTTATTCGTGGCTGTTTTGTAAAATATTATTCAATGGCTTTAAATGAAAGTTAAAACAGAACATGAATTTATGCTCAGTTGTCAAGTACTAGTAAATAAAATGTTTATTAAAGTGTCCTAAAAAAGGTTGTCTGTGTTGTTGTTGTTGTCATCTATCTGTTGATACCTGAATGCTCAGTCAAGTTTCTATAGGTTGGAGAAAATTCCAGATCCTATTCTTATCTTGCGTTTTTTTGCAACTACACTTGAGTCCGGGATCAGCCAATAATCTTGGATGCTTAAAAATATTTGATACCTTTAAAGTGATGAGGTTATCTAGCCTGTTATCAAGACATTTACATTGGAAAAATAAGAGTTTAAAGACTTCGAACTGAATACAGATTATTAGAAATGTTATTTTCCGTGATATTCCATAACTCGTTTGATGTCAGAATATTTGGACTGCAGAATAGACTGAGGATAAAAGCTTGGCGATAGTCAAAAGCATGATAAACAGATATAATATCAGAAGAGGTTTTGTGGTAATTATAATAATTTTAATAGTTGAGATCATGAGTCAATTGAAACTAGACAACTATGGAAAACCTGGAAACACTGGACAGCCGTTTCGTCCCAATATGGGACTCCTCAGCAGTGCGCACCCACGATCCCGCTGCACGAAGGTTCAAGCCCAGGACCTATCAGCGCTTAACCATCCGACCACTGAGTCGACTTCTAACGGTGTTAATGTCTAACTTCAACCAATCCACGAAATTGAGCCACCGTACACTATTGTCTTCAGTGAGCTGATATCTCACAACAGACCTGGTTGAACTCCACTAGTCACTGCTTCTCAGTTGCTTTTAGTTTTCTTAGTGGTCTAGGTTCCATTGACTCATGATCTCAACTATTAAAATAGATATAAGTCAGTGTATCACACAAAATATATTATGGTTAATTATGTAAAGTATTAGGACTAACCACAGAAGTTTAGAAATGAAGCGTTTGTATAAAACCTTTATAAAATTGTAGCAAGCAGATGATTCCATCTCCCTGACTGAATAAATCAATCTCTAAAAATATTACTGACCTTTTACGAACAGATACTTTACGGTTGTGTCGACGGCGATAACACACAAAACCAATGATAAGAACACTAATAAGCCATATCAATAAACCTATTATAATGAACGCCTGAAGAAAAAACAGAATAGTATAAAGTCATAAATTAAATTAATGAAAAAATTTCACTAATAAAGTAATTAGAACAATTAAATTTTACATTGAGTTAAAGAGTCGGCATTGGCAGGACTATAATTTATAGGCGAACCAATAAGATTTAAAATAGAAAGTCTTGGAGTTCGACGTGAAATTCATCCATTCAAACGGCTAAATATCATCTCGGCATTATAGTTGATGTCAGTTCGTAATGAAAACCCTTAAAATTCAATTTTTATTTATAACATATATATCTAAGTCCTAATTCTGATTTCTCGAGCTAATTTGTAGTCTCTTTTTATCCTAGTAGATTGGTGAATCTCCTCAAGGTGTTTTTAACATCGTTCAAAGATCATCCATAAATGATAGTTTGACCGAAGCGTCAAAACAAAAAAGCACTGAACATATTATTTATCCAAATTTTAGAACACCTCAGTAACAAACATCTTTGATATTGATAGTAAGCCGAAAATAATTTTAATCAGATATGAGTAGTGGCTAACAGTCGAATCTTCCCACTTTTTTATTCATCAGCCGGATACACCTACTTTCAATAGTTGGATATTCAGTCCGACATTCACATGTATCTAACTAACAAGTCCTAAATTTTTTCTGGTTAGCGTTTTTTTAGCGAGTTAGTTTTCTACGGGATGGGTTCGCTAACCCCATGCCCAACCCTCCTCCTTTATCCGTGCTTGGGACTCGCAGTAGCCCCCGGAGGGACTCCAGGCGATACAGGTGTTTATTAACAGTTGTCTACGCAAAATACTTCGGATCCGTTGGCCGGACACAATTAGTAACAACCAACTGTGGGAAAGAACAAACCAGATCCCAGCGGAGGAAGAAATCAGGAAGAAGCGCTGGAAGTGGATAGGACACACATTGAGGAAAACACCCAACGGTGTCACAAGACAAGCCCTCACATGGAATCCTCAGGCCAAAGGAAAAGAGGAAGACCAAAGAACACATTACGCTGAAAAATGGAAATAGACATGAGAGAAATCAACAAGAATTGGATGGAATTAGAAAAGAAGGCCCAGGACAGAGTGGGTTGGAGAATGCTGGTCTGCGGTATATGCTCCATTGGGAGTAACAGGCGTAAGTAAGTAAGTAAGTAACAAGTCCTAAATAGAACGAAACTCACATCCTGGATTTCATTACTACCCATTGTAAACTTTTAGACATACATTTAAATTTAACTAATACAAATGAAGAATAAATACACAATAAAAATTATTATCCATAACAATTAAAGTTTTCTCAATAAAGTTCATATAAATCACTTTACTTTTAACTTACTAAAATGATATAATTACGTCTTTCATGATTAGAAAATTGACCTACAATTAAATATAATAGAATGAATAGAAAACAATCTAAATCATAATTTATAAAAAAACAGAGAGAGAGAATACAAAAAACAGTCATTTATATTAGTTCTATACAAGATCATTCAATCAACTATGAATAGATCATTCTATAGGATTCTACTACTACTACTTCTTCTTCTTCTTCTTCTTCTTCTTCTTCTTCTTCTCCTTCTTCTCCTTCTTCTCCTTCTTTTTAATGCAATTCACAGGGTTAAAAGAATTGGATCATAGGGATGTCCAATCAATATTTTATTTATTTATTTATTTAATTTAAAATTAATGGATTATACAAAACAAAATGAATTGGATATTGATTACCGGTTAAGTAATTAGATATTCTAATTATGTAATATATATATATTCCTAATAATAATACACATGGCAGAAGCTATAGGAATTCGAACCAACAAGCCAAGTCTTTGTGTTCAGAAGAAGTTTGTAACACCTTTATCTCTCTCTTCGGCCTTAATAAATGAATTTACTTATTATTTTTTTCAAAGTTTCTCTTCGTTTCACTTGGTATTGTTTGGCTTGTATCGTCCTATTGTTTTTTATAAGACGAAACGCGCATCCTGGATTCCACTGCTAGCCATTATCCATCATTGCTTACAAAGCTTGTGAATTAAGGCAAAATCGAGGCGTATGCACAGTGTGCCAATAACAGACTGATCAATTGTATTCCTCTTTGTTTATTATTTTTCATCACCCCCTCCTACCACTTTATTTTCTCTCAACTATACATTTCATGGTCCAATTATCTGAACATTTCTTATTACGTCATCTTATAATTTTATAATTGTTATCTCAGTTTCTATATTTTTCTAATCATTGACCTATTTCCGATTATGTAACATTGATTTTAGCCTTTATTATTCTTATCAAAACTAATCCACCTGTTATCACACTATCCATTTGTACTTTTCACTTATTATGTAATCTTTTTCAATGGTGATGTCACAGGTATTCAGTGTTTGACAACGCTTTTACCAGTAACACCTTCTAATATATTTCGTTCCCACCCAGAGAAATCAAAAGACAGAGTCGAGGAGATCGGAAGAGTATATTTGGCGATGACCAATATATCGGAATTCTCTGATCATTGACTTATAAACTACCTTGATTGGTCTAATAACTTCGTATACGCATATAAATATTACTGTGGATTAGAGTAAAACTTGATGAAGTTCTAATCGAAAACAATATTGTTCGCTTATATATATTTTTCTAAATTGTAACTATAAATTTCTGACATAAAGTTATCATTATTCATAAATGTTTATTTGAGTTAAAACATACATAATCTGGCTTACTTACATAAGTACTTACGCCTTTTGCTCATAATGGAGCATAGGCCACCGACTAGCATTCTCCAACCCAATCTATCTAGGGACTTCCTTCCTAGTTCTACACAATTGCTGTTCATTCTCCTCATATTTGTCTCCATCTCTCGGGATAATGTGTTCTTTGGTCTTCCTGTTCTCCTTTGGATTTGAGGATTCCAAGTGAAAGCTTGTCTTGTGACATAGTTGGGTACTTTCCTTGATGTGTGTCCTATCCACTTTCAGTGCTTCTTCCTGATTCCTTCCTCCACTAGAATCTGGTTTGTTCTCTCACACAACAGGTTGTCGCTGATAGTCTCTGGCCAAAAAATCCGAAGTATTTTGCGTAGACAACTGTTAATAAACACTTGTATCTTCTGGATGATCCCTTTCGTAGTTCATCCAGGTTTCTGCTCCATATAGTAGAACTGTCTTGACACTTGTATAGAGAATTCTGACCTTGGTGTTGGTTGACAGTTGTTTAGAGCATCAGATGTTCTCCGATTGTAGATGCTTTGCCGATCCACGCCTTCACATCTGCATCAGATCCACGGTGTTCACTAATGATGCTGCCCAAATATGTAAAGGTTTTTACATCTTCCAAATCTTCTCCGTCAAGTGTGATTCGATTGTTGCATGCTGTGTTGAATAAGAGAATCTTGCTTTTCCCTTTGTGTATGTTAAGACCTACTGCTGCTGCTACACTGGTCGTCTTCTGCATTTGTTATTGCGTGTGCGATAGGAGAGCTAGATCATCCGCGATGTCTAGACCGTCCAGCATAATTCTAGCTGTCCACTGTGTCCCATTCTTCCCCTCAGATGTTGACGTCTTCATGATCCAGTCGGTCACCAAGAGAAAGAGAAAGGGTGAGAGTAAACAACCTTGCTTGACACTGGTCTTTACTTCGAACGAGTTTGTCAACTGTCCTCCATGCACGATTTTGCAGTTTAGTGCATCATAGCAATTCCTTATGGTATTGACTATCTTCCCAGGCTCCGGCTTGAGCCCCTCTGTGTCTACTGCTGGTCCTAGTCCCGAGTAAAGGAGAAGGGTTGGGCATGGGGTTAACGACCACATCCCGTAGAAAACTAACTTGCTAAACAAACGCTAACCAGAAAAAATATTTGGAACCGTATGTTTGACTCACTTTGACTATAATTTGTAACAACTTCTGTTATTGGTGAAGATTTCGAGTGTTGATAGAGGTGTTTGAATAGTTGGTACTTCCTGGATACTCTCAGCGTAGAAGGATACTCCTAAGATTTGTATTAATGGCCTTGTAGACTAGATGAAGTGACCACAGATCCTAAGAGATAACTGTTTTAGGCCGGTCATCCAAAGCCTTTTTGACCGCAGGAGACAGGACTCTGTGAATCAAGGTGAGGTGTGCTTTTATTGGGAGAAGAAAGGGTTGCTGAAGATACTGATCGTTTGACGTAGCATCTTACTGATGTCACATCCCGTTACAGCCAGAGGTACAACTTCACCCTTGGACATTGTGTCTTTACATTGAGACTTAAAGCACTTCAGTTAACATACTTGACATGACGGACTTAAAAGTAACATGTACTTCAGGCAGTATAGCTCAAGTGCGTCGTCGGAATAATAATGTTGGACTCCTATGTCGAGATAGTAGCTGCAGTCAGGCTGTCATGATGCGAAATTAATATGAATGATAACTGATGAACAACGACTGAAGTGGTTGGATTGATAATCCATTCAGGGACTTTAACTATGAATCTGTATTGATATAGCTACAGAAACCTTTGACTAACTAGCTCAGTCTATGTCCATATACTTTAAGTGACGAAACCTACCATTTTGTATATTTAATATTCAGTTACTTATCACGTTATAAGTAGTAAACCAAGAATGAAAATAACGAATATCGATTACTCAACAATTTAGATGGCTGGACTTTAGACCACCATTTAGAAACGCGGAGGCACTGACAGGTCGTTTCATCCGAGTATGGGACTCCTCAGCAGTGCAGTCTCAGACAATGGGAGATGGTCTCTCAGCTTTGTGGATTGGACGAAGCTAGACACCGTTGGATGCTGGCTCAGTGGTCTAGAGGTTAGGTGTTTGCGCGCGAGACCCGAGGTCTTGGGTTAAGTCCTGCGCGCGAGACCATGGATGTGCACAGCTGAGGAGACCCGATACTCTCAAGTTTTTCTTGGTGGTCTAACAGTCATCGATTCATGATCCCAATAAAAAACTTAACAATCCCCACAACCCCATACTAATAATGTAAATCGCAAATAAAATGTAACAGTACAGGATTCTGGACATCTATCTAGAAATTGTTTGATACTATTTAGTTTTGATTGTTCCTTCAAATGATCCAGTTTTTAACAAAATATTAAATTCAACTTCGTTAGTCTTTCAAAACAATGTTGATGAAGAATTCAATTCTTGATTTTACATAAGTTTCTCAATCTTTGTTACAAAAGAAATCTTTATTTTAAATGTTTCCTCTGGTTGGTAAGTATGGTTGAATCATACTCTGTGACAAGGCCATATGATAAATTAAACATGAACGTGTACGCGGGCTACTATCAATGTATTATGTATTCACCTTCCCTAGCTTGGCTCCCATATGACCCTGTCGCAATCAGTTCAGCAATTTATATATAATTTGGATTTTGGAAATGTGAATTTCTGTGAATCACAAATCTTATCATGCATAGCTGATAAGATAAGTTTCGAATATCAACCTTGAATTTAACTTTTTGGTGAAATTAACTTGAAGTCTGAAACTATGACAAAAAGTATCGAGAGTGTTACTTGATTCCCATAGTTACCCAGTGAAACAAGATCAGCTTCTGCTTATCTCAATTTCCTCATCAGTAAGATTCGACTCAGTAGTAAAACCAGCGATACGGTGGCTGATATGTTAGTAAAAGGGAAGGGAAATTCTGTGGAAGTGAGAAAAGATATATGTTAACTGAATTTCCGTTTCCACTTTTTCTTTCGTTGAAAATAAGCTATTTAACCGTATAAGACATCGATTCTAGTGATTAACCAATAGAAAGATCATTTAAACGGTTATCGATAAAAATAAAATGTATGGACGATTTTGGGCTACAATGCAAGCTAACTTTCTACATTAATGAAGTAATTCAATGAAAATTTTTATAGTTTTCGTCATCTGGATATACCTGCATCTCAGAGTTGATGTTCACTCTGGGACTCGAGATTCAGGTACATCCAGCTGACGAGTCCCAAAAAAGGACAGAACGTGCACCCTGGATTCCACTGCTAGACACTATCCATCTTTGTTTATAATACTTGTAAATTAAGGCAATATCGATGCAATACACACAGGATGCACAAATACTAGTAAGAGACCGATCAATTGCAATCTTAAACATCAATAGGAAGATTCAAGTAAAACAATACCAAGTGAAATTTATAGTTTTGTTTCTAAGTCAACTGTAACTTCCTATTTGGAAAAAAGTAACTACACTCGTTAATGTTCAATAATTAAGTAAACATATACCATAGTGAAATTGTTTAAAATTAGTTTTTGAAAAAAAAATATTTATGTATATGTGTAAATGGACATAATCAGCATAGAGTTAACATGTTTATAACCTGTTAAATATTGTTCAATAGATTAACAGTTCTAAACTTTCACTCCTCCCGTA